TGTTGTTAGCAACAAATAATTGTTTAATATAAACTCTTTTACCTCCAATTGAATATTACGTCTTATAAACACGGGTGGTGAGTGGCGCAGCCAAATGCAGCTTCACCAAAACCGGAACGATAAAAAAGCAAGGTATCTGTAAAAAATAATGTTCTTAGTAACAAATAATTGTTTAATAACATATATTTTAACTAAAATTCACAATTATACTTGCTGGCACAACAAAGAATGGCGGGTATATTTGCGCGCATTGAAAATCAGCTGACTACTATGACAGCGTTCAAAGCTACCATTAGGCCATAAAAGCCTTCAAAGTAAAGCAAAGCAAACTAAAGTAAGCAAAGCAAGCGTGCATTGGGCCAATACCTTGACGAAGAGTGCCGCGTGGCTGTCGCAGAATAATACGCAGCACACAAAGCCACCCTACAGCCAATAGCTACGCGAGCTACAGTTGAACGATACCGGGGGATGAGGAGGGAGGAGAGACGTCTATTCAAAATAAAGATAGCACGAACAGAAGCTGTTTTTTTACGGAGAATGTCTGGCATCACTCAAGAATGATAGAATACAAGATTGCGCCAATCGAGCTGAGAGCAACTGGCCGTGACGTCAAAAAATACCAGAATGAGAGAGCAAGACGAACTCGACAAGAAAAAGAGGAAGCATCGACCAAAAGGCAGTGTTGCCAAGTTTTGACTTTGAAAAAGCACCAAATTTGTATTGATGTATTTTATGGACTTTATATGAATATCAATGTTTCTTGCACAACGGTCGATTTCTTCTGGCATGATTGAAGGTGCTGCCACATATTTCTTTGTCACATATTTGATTGTCACTGTGCCATGATTTTGTTTTAATTTTTGTAAAATTGCTTACCACACTTACGATTGCTATAAATTTTGCTTAAATTTTTTTAAGATTTTCTAATTTGGTGTCTTCAAACTAAAAACAAAAGCACCAAAAACGCACCAAGCACAAAACTCATAAATTTTCGCGTTTTGAATACCCACTAAATTTGGTTCGAAAAGCATCAAGTTGGCAACAGTGAATGTAAACAAAAGTATTTTATGACGTCAGCGATTGGGTGGATGCTGTCAAATCGACGAAGAGAGGGTTAGCGGTCCGCGAATGGCGCGACCTTTATTTTCTGGATCGTGGGCATCACTGATCTGACTGGGTACCAGGGATGAAAAATGGAAATTTAAGATTGTACCTAATATCACAAAATAATGTACCTAAATGAGACCTATTGTACCTAAACAAAAGTTTATTTTTGTTTAAAAATTTTATTTAAAATATGAATATAAAAGATAGATGTTCTTTAAACATGATGAAACATGGTTTTTTAACTGAGCCCATATCGATAGACTATAGTCTAATGGGAATCGGAGAAGCATTGTTTTGTACTGAAAAATATTGGCGAAAAAGACAAAAAGCACACTTTGCGAAGTATACTTCTTTACCCAGATTTTTATAAAACAACAGAAAGTCTGCTAATTTATCCGATTACTTTTAATAGGTGCAGCAAGTCTAGAGAAGATAATCAAATTGCCGAGTATAGGTCAAAAAGCGAGTATAGGTTAAATAGCTGTAGTTCTCATCTAAAAATATGAAAATATGAAATATGACACTGGACTGTATGGGCGAATGAAGGCCGGTTTTCACAATGTCATATTTTGACAACAAAATTTGTCGATATATTTTTACATAACTTTCTTTCCTTTATCCCTACCTTTATCGATGATATTATGGGCCAAAAACTTACAAATAGCCGCTTTAGCAGCGCATGTACACGCCTTAATGCCTATTCTGATCTAAATCAAACCAAAGGCCATTTTTAGTCCCATTTTACAATTTGTTTTCACTCATTTGACCGCAAATGCCAGTGAATTTGATGCCACTGAATAAAAACGCCACTTTAAATAAAAAAGCAGGTTTCAAACCCGTTTATTATTATTTATTTCATGGTAGAAGAGCTTCTCAAACAATATAGAAGCAATTTTTTCGATTCAAGTTGTTGAAAAGTATTGAATATCTCAATACCGGGACTAATCCCGGGATCCCGGGATTGTGACCACGCCATCCCGAAAATCCCGGGATCGGAAAAAGCCGAAAAATTAACATCCCTAATCTGATCAAAAGATAATTGTACCTAAAATCTAGTGACTGTACCTAATGTACCTTTAAGTAATCAAACGTAGGAAAAAGGTACAATTGTACCTACTTTTTCATCCTTGCTGGGTACGCTAGCGCTCGATTTGCAGAATCCGTATGAACTGTTTGCTGACTGGCTGTCATTGCTTCTTCTACTTGGCTTTTGTTATTGTCGCACAATCAATTTGCGAAGTAAACTTGCCGACAGTGTTGACAGGAGTACAAAAATAAAAAGAGGTTTGTATAGTAAATTCTCCAGTAAAACATTGCAGCGACAGCGTAAAAGCAAAATAGAGCGTAAAATTGAGAAGAAGAGAAAACTAACAGAAAAAGTGAAACAGCTGTTGCACTGTTTTGACATTCTGCTGTAAACATTTAACTATTTATAAATAATTTTTAAACACTTTTCTTTACACACACGCACTTACACAGTCCAGTATATCATTAATATTTTGATTTCCACTCATTTTACTTTTGTTTGTGCTAAACCAGTTAAAAAATAGCGGCTTTTGACATTTATTCTTCTTCTTCTTCTGCTAGCTAATTTCTGCTAGTAAAAATTTCACTAGCAAGAATTTGCAGCTCTCCCGTGCTATTACGCTCTCGATTCAGTGCTCTCTAGCAAATTTTTTGGGTTATCATACACTTTTCCAGTAAAAATTTGAAGGTTCCAGTACAAATTAGTACTGACTATTGGTTACTATACAAACCTAATGCTACATCGGCCGAATAAAAAAGCTAATGAAATTTAAATGGCCAAAAAAGGTTAAAAAAAGCCATTTCAACAGTTTTCATTTCATTAACTCTTATGTACAAGGACATGTACACATGTACCACCGAGCAACAAAGATATAAATATCTGGACTGCCAAAGTACTTACGATCATGAAATTTCATGAAAGCCTTGTGCAAACATTTTTGAACACCATACCGTTTAATAAAACCTTTTTTATAATAAAGGAGACTCTTTTTTAGGGTCTGAAAACCCATGGTCCTTAAAGGCAAAGTATCTTCATACATTACAATAGGATTAAACTCGTGAATGTTTCAATTGGAGCGCGCATAGTGAAGAGCAGACATGGGCACTTTTTCCCGTATGGGCTTTTCTGCCCGTACGTGCAAGCGAGCCCATTTCGTGGGCTTGATCAGGGGAAAATCATGGGCAAATATGAAGGGGGCAACGAATCTTACTAAGACATCAGTGTACTTTATCTGATACGAATACGAAATTTATCGAAATCAAACATTTAATAAGTAAATGTGAGCAATCTAAGTTGAAGGCGGCTGATGTAAAACAAGTTTTGGAGCAACTGATTAACAACAAATGTACGCAAATAAAAACGAGTATTGTTTCAGACTTTAATACATTTCTGGAACATAACATTGGAGTGAGAATTAATGCTATGAAAAATGAAATCATTAAGGAAATTTCTAGTGAACTGCAAAAATGTAATGACTTGGTAAAAAACATTCAGCCAGTAATTAGTAAAGAAAATGCCGCAATATCATATGCCCAAGCTGTCAAAACAAATGAAAATAAAATTGTTATAAAGCCCTTAAACAAAAACAAAAACGTTAAGGAAACAAAAGAGGCGCTGAAAAAGGTAATCGAACCCACCGACGGCCTTGTTAAGACTGTGAAAGAAATTAATAGAGGGGGAATAGTTTTAGAATGTAAAAATAAATATACTTGCGAAAAAGTGCATCAAAAAATAAGAGATAGTATTGGGATGGAGTTCCAGGCCCAGAAAGCTAAAGGAAAAAAAGGAAATAAAAAAGATACTGAAAATAGTTGGGTTAACCGAAAAAATAAATAATGATCGCATAAGAGAATGTCTAACTAAGCAAAATGATGAGTTCTTGGGAAAGGAGTTGAAAGTACTGAAAGTATACGAAAATAGAACGCGAAGAGAAGAAAGCTTCAACATTCTAGTTGAAACAGATGCTTTAACCTATGAAAGTGTCTTGAAACGTAAAAAAGTAAATATCGAATGGGACACTTGCATGGTATTTGAGCATCTAAATATTATGAGATGCTTTAAATGTTTGGGTTATAAGCACAAGTCAAGTGATTGTACAAATAAAAAGGCATGTAGTAGATGTGCTGGAAATCACGATGTTAAGGATTGCGGCTCTGATATAATAATACACACCTTATATATATTGTTGTGAACTTGTTCAGAAAAAAGTAATAGATGTTAATGTAAATCACTCAGCATTCAGTTTGCATTGCCCTGCTTACCAAAAATACGTTCAAGCCAAAAGCAAAACTAAAGTTTAGCAACGAAGTATTCATGAATTGAATATCATTTATTTAAACATAAACAGTATTACAGCTAATAAGTGTGAACTTGAGAAACTAATAGAAATTTGTAAGCCCCATTTGGTGCTATGTTCAGAAACCTGTTTGACCGAAGACATTACAAACCACGAAATACAGGTAGAAACCTACACCCTAATTAGATGCAACTCGAATAGTAGACACACAGGCGGTGTTTTAATTTACGTCCATCACTCAATTAAATATGAAACTCTCGTTAATTACTCGTGGGATAAAAATATTTGGTGTCTTCTTCTAAAAATTGGAAATGTTACCCCGAAATACCAAATAGGGGTAATATATCACTCGCCAAATTCTAGCGATGCTGACTTTATCAGCTACCTCAATGAAATTTTAAACAATACTTGCCTAGATGATAATACTGTATTTATTGGAGACTTCAATATAAATCTATATAAAGCTACAACGTACAGTAAAAGATTGGTAGAGTTATTTCAGTCCTTCTCAATGGAAAATTAATTTTTATTTACCAATAGCAAAAAATTTCGT